AAACACTTGTGTTTCCCCCATACTTATATGATATGTGTGCTTTTATGTTGCAGCTATTTTAACCTCTGCAATGAGAATTTCAGAAAGCTCAATATACTGGGTGCAGTGATATGAAGGATATTTTATTTCGCTCCAGAAGTATTTGCAATAAATTACATTTCGATTCTCTGCCTTTAATATGGCATTTTCCCTATTGAGCAATGCTTCAGTATGAGCCTGGTTTAAAAATAAACTTCCATTTAGGTGGGAGACGCTTAATGTCACTTACAGAGAAGTGAAATGCACAGGATTATGGAGAAAGCTTGTGTTCTGGATGAGTGATGGGCTCCAGCTTGCAGAGGAACACTGTGCCTTTGAATGTGCCCTCAGCTCTGCCTCTGGGCTTTCCTGTTCTCCCACTATCTATACACGTTCCGCCAGCTGGAGGCTGCTTTACTCGGGGCTGAATGGGGAGCCCAACCTGCCCACAAATGCGCCGGTGAGAGAGTGGCCCAATACCCATGTCCACACTCACGGTCTCGCAGATTTTGTGGCCTTGAGGGCTTAGTGCTGTCCCATGGTCTAATCGCCAAGTGCATGCGGGTTCTCTCGCAGGCATTTTGAGCTCTTTATGCACACTATCCATAAGTCTGCATTTCTGCAGACTTTGCCTGAGGGAATTACCCACAGTTCACAGGACGTGAAACACAGGATTACAAGTGGAAGCCCAGAAGTGTAAATGGTAATCAAAACATTTCCTTTAGTTTTCGCTTAATGATGCTGTTTTGACAAAGATGAGTGAATTGATTCTTTGCCAAATACCTGTCACTCACTCTATAATGCAAGAGCTTGGGACACATTCAAATAAGGCAGTTTCAGTCCCTTATGCGCCTTGACCATGAAGAAAGTGCAATTTTTCATTTAAAATGTCCCAAACCCACAATAATAAGGAACATGTTTTGACGTTGTCAAGGTAACACCGCTACATACTGTCCTATTACTATGTTTACTGTGTCGAACCCTTGCAGCCTCTCGCTCTCATTGACTTGCCAGGTGACATCATGTAAGTCTGTGACGGTTCATGCCTTAGGGGAGACATTCCCATTGGGCGCGTTTTCCCTGTTGCACCCTTGACCAGCACCACAGCGCCAATGGACCTAATCTGTCGTTATATTTGCTTAAGGGGAAACACCAGCCTTGCCTTCATTTAGCAGATGCTTTTACCCAATGCACTGTTCAGTTATGAAAACTGGATCCTAACGTCTGCTGCAGCACTTGGGGCCTGAACGGGGAGCTAATGTGGAAGCACTCCGCCGACCCTGGGATTTAAACAGATCAACCTTTTGATCACAGGCACAGCCTCTTGACCCACACGACACCACCCTTAGATCTGTTCCTGAGAGTTGTGTTAAAAGTATTTCTATTCTGTTCTATTCTATTCTATTCTATTCTAATATTGTTTCTACACTCAGAGAATTCATAAAAATTACGGGTTTCCTGCTTTAATTTGTCTGAGTCAGACACTGTTTATGTTAAAATGGCAGACGAGGGGATTGTTAACTTAGGTCTGACTTCAGCAGTCGTCTCTGCCTTATGAATGGGTTACTTAACAACTGAAGCACTGACCCCGTTGGACCCATTAGTGCCCATAGAGGTGTTTTGTATCACTTACAGATCATGCCATTTGCTTTCACTTTCATGTTGCCAATATTTACCAGTCACTGTCTTCTGATAATGCAATGTGCTATTGTCTCTGATCCAGTGATGCATTGACGCTGCTCTTATCTCACTGCACTAATGCCTCTGATCCAGTGACACATTAAAGCTGCTCTTATCGCACTGCACTAATGCCTCTGATCCAGTGACACGTTAAAGCTGCTCTTATCTTACTGCACTAATACCTCTGATCCAGTGACGTTTTGAAGCTGCTCTTATCTCACTGTGGGTGTTCCTATGCTCACTCTGTGCTTCTGTACTTTTCCTCCTGCAGACTGAGGGAGTCCAATATGCAGTTATTCTGCCAGGAATCTCCTAAGTGCTGGAAGATGGATCATACCAGTATGATGATATTTCTCTGAACATCCATCCATTTTCCAGTACAGGGTCTCACAGACAGACACAAACACACATGCACAGTCCATGTATTCATATTTTTATGTGAATTCTACATTAATTTCCCAACAATGACAACCTTAACCCAGCATTATCCAGCCCCAACCTTAACTATAAGTGACCAACCAAAACTTTTGTCAGTTTTGTTTAGTTTTTTGATTGCAGTCTCAGATTTTTATAACCCTCTTCCTCTTTTAACTCCTCTGAGCATTATGATCTGCGTATAATATTCCTAAATTAAGATAGCTTTACTCTGGTCATTCAGGTGTCAAGTGACCTCTGTTCTTAGAAAACCAAAGGGGGGGGGGACTTTTCACACTCTCAAAGGTACAACAGCTGAAATCTTCCTAGGCACTTTTGGTGAAGGGTTCTCACCCGCTGTGCAAGCCCTATATCCCGTACTGCTGCCGTTGCTTGAATTATGTGCATTTTAAATCATGTAGCTGTACAGGAGGTGGCTTGACCTCTCTGGACAGCATGAGACAAGGGCCTCTGCGTGCATAATCTGGCTGCTGTGGCAGTCCGACTCGGGGGGGATCTGATTCGGGGATCCATGGGGCAGATTTGGGGTTACTCTGGTTTTGCTGGGATTTATAATCATAATATTCATTTACACCTTGGGTTTTGGCACCTGATTGCACATTTTCTCATAAATTTACATTAGCTATTAAGAAATTCCGGAGGGACCCAGATCAGGAGGAACGTTGGCAAAGGAACAATTAACTGTGCGAGCTGTCCGGTCCTGTCCGTGGCTACCTAGCGCGAATACTGTCCTTCAGGTATAAGCACTTGCTCTCTTTCCAAAGCTTATAAGTGTCCCTTGTTCTCTGCGAGGAGGCCCTTGTGCCCTCGGCCCACCTGGCGGCCCGGTCCGGTCTTGGCAAACATGCTCTCCTGTCATATTCTCACCACTCGCCATTTAATGAACGGGGAAATCAGGCCACTTTATTCAGCATTACAGCTGGGGCGGGGTCAGCCTGAGCCTGGAATGAGGAGGAAATATTCTCGTTTGCTAGTTATCCAAGCAGAGTCCCACCCGTTTGCTGTGCCACACACTGTTTCTTTTCAGTGTGATTACTGTGGTATGAAGGAGCATACAGTACCTGCTGTGTATGCTGATTTCCCAGCAGTTTTTATTTATTCAAATTCTGAGAATCGGGTACTGTGGTAACGTCAGGCACATGTGTGTGTGTGACATCCGTGTGACCAGAACAGCTGCTCGTGACAGGACCGGGTTCGAGCCATGTGTTCTTACCACACCCAGAAGACCACCAGGGCAAATGCCTTCCCAGCATCCACTGCTCTGTGTGGTGCTGTGCTTTCATCACATGATGACATTTACTGTCCATTCTTTCTTAAATCCATTGGAATTTCCTTTCCTTTTCTTGGAGTGCTAAGGCTGCTAATCCATAAATAGCCTGTCACATGACTCACCTTGAATAATATTCTGCAGCTGTTAGGAGTTTGTGACGCACGTTCAGCTTTAACTGTGGTATTTTATAAAACACTGCAGCTGAAGTACATGCTGTTGTTTTGATTGTGCTGTAACACTGCCATGGGCTTCACGGCTGCGGTCCAGACCCTCCAAACTGTTTCCGAAGCCAACGGCGAGCCCTTGGGGAGAGTGAGTCAGCAGGACAGCAGCAGCACAAAGCAAACGGAGGCTTTGGATTTGCAGAGGGAGGATCTGTTACGTATGCCGGTGACACCCCCTCAGAGGTGCCAGGCATTGCTGTGCCCTTAGCTCCTAATTAGCATCACTTTGGAGGAATTCAATTCAAGCAATGAATTGCAGAGTTTAGCTCAGGATGTGTCCCAGTGTGCAGCTGGCAGGGAGAAGGTCACCCTGAGGGTGTCTTGGCGAGGTCTCTCTAGGGCTCCTCGTAGTCCCATGTAGACAGGGCACCTACAGGTAGGGAAGAGTCACACTTCTGTGTGTCCCATGTTCCCCCCAAGCACAGTAGCTGTGCTTGTGAGCTCTGCTGTTCATTTGTCGTTTGACTGTCTGCTGGAGTCGGGAACCACGGGGCGTGGTTCTGAAATACTGAGATGCAGAGTGGATCTTCATTGGACCCGGCCTGGTGCTCTATTCTCCTTCTTGACCTCGGAAAACTAGACTTCATTAGGTTATTTTTTAAGTGATTTCTAACATTGCAGAGGTGATTGTGTATAAGGTAAAAAGTTAGGTAAATGGTCAGCATACTCAGCACTGTTCAGACTCTGTTCAGATTCTCATGTGATGTCAGAAGCTTGCATGTGATATATGAAAGGCTCTGCCTGTTGGAGCTGGATGCCTGCTGCTGTGTTGGTGTGCTTGTTGATCAGTGTCTCTGCTGCTTTAACCACTACAAAGCGTGGTGCAGCTTTCACTGTGTGAATCTCTGGGCCCAGAGAAATGCTGGTGGTCAAGAAGGAGTTCACACATCTAGACAGACCAGAGGGAAGCCAGGCAGATTCTTACAGGTCAGCTGGGTGATATCGGATGGTGAATCCTTGATTCTTACAGGTCAGCTGGGTGATATCTGGTGGTGAATGCATGATTCTTACAGTTCAGCTGGGTGATATCGGATGGTGAATGCATGATTCTTACAGGTCAGCTGGGGGATATCTGATGGTGAACGGGTGATTCTTACAGGCCAGCTGAGTGTACAATGGCCATTAAAACAACATCTATGCTGTTGTTACTGTCTCGTAATGCAGCACTCTAGAAAAATGTGATCTGATAGATGTAGTTGAATGTGAGGTGTATGTTGGTCTGTGTCTACACCTGATTATTAAGATCAATGGCGTATGGATGCTGTGTAGGATACTTGGAGTACTCACAAATGCTATGTAGAATTTTCACAGTACTCACTGATACTGTGTAGGATATTTGGAGTACTCACAAATGCTATGTAGAATTTTCACAGTACTCAAGAGAGAAGAAACAATCCTGAATAAATGAGGAATGAAGAATCCCTTGAGGCTCTGATGATGAACAGACATGGACCACCCACCCCGTCCTACAGATGGTCTGCACATGAAGAGCGTGACGGTCAGTGTTGTTGGGGTGACTGCTGGAGCTTCCTGTCACGTTGTGTGGATTTAGGGGGCAATGGGAGGGAGTCTCTCTGGCCCCAAGCAAAATGATATTGGTGGCAACCAAATGAACCAGATGAACCACAGGAAAAGAAAAGGAATATTACCTAGAATTCCATTTCCTTTGGTGTCAGTACGTAGATCTCTCCTAGCTCATCAGGCCGCCGCAGGCACAGCGTGCCCGAGCTGATGAGTCACCAAACGGCCTCAGGCGTTCAGGGTGCTTCCTCAGAGCAGAAGTATGGTGCTTTAAACAATCACCTGTGCGCCTGGGATTTCTGTGTTCTTCACCGGCAGAGAGCGTGCTATGCATGCAATGTGTTTCATGCAGCTGGACCGCCTTGCCACCTGCTCTGCCTACTTAAATTATATCCGGCTTGCACGTGGTGGGCAATGTGTTTAAGTACTAAGCAGAAATGTGCCATAGTCACACAGTCAATGGAGGGGTGGCTGAGTCCCAAGCAAAACCTTATGCTGGAAGCACTTTGAGGATGGCTGACCCTGGATCCTACTGCTGTCTCCTGCCTCTCCTCACCCACTGCTGTCTCCTGCCTCTCCTGTCCCTCTGCTGTCTCCTGCCTCTCCTCACCCTCTGCTGTCTCCTGCCTCTCCTCACCCTCTGCTCTCTCCTGCCTCTCCTCACCCACTTATATCTTCTGCCTCTCCTCACCCACTGCTCTCTCCTGACTCCTGGCCAGCCAGATCCACTCGGCCTGTTGCACCTTCATAAAAATTTTGGGTTTGTGAAGATGGTTGGCTAATTAGCAGTGATGTCCAACGATGCTAGCTGATATTCATGGGTCAGATTTGTTTTTTTTTTTGTTTGTGGTGGCTTTGTAGTGAGTATCTGATGCCGGGCTCAGTGTCACCCAGCTCTGCCCTGGGTGTGCCCGGCTTCCCTGCCACCGTGCATGAGGTTCATCCACTGGCATCTGTGCCACTGCACGAGAAAATGTTCTTCATATCTGAAAATGGAAGAAGCAGTCTTCTGCTGAAAGAAGAATCCTTTGCCCAGGAGTCTGCCACCCACTCAATGTTCTGGAGATGAATGTAAATATATGCTGTCATGAAGCATCTTGGGGTTTTTGGTCAGACTGTTTATCTGTAAAATTGTCCTGTTCTCTGCGGTACTGAGGAGGCAGCCTTCTGCTGCTGATGTCACGATGGCTGTTGAGCGTGTGCTTTTGCACTGATGATATAAGTCCGTTTACGTTTCTTGAATTTGGGTTATGGAATAGGGCAATTTTCTTGTTTATGTTACAGTTTTCGGCAGAAGTTGTGGTCTGAGAATTTTGCCCATATTCAAATGTTCATCTAATTGAGGTTATTTTCAGGCTTCAGACTGTGAGCTTTGCATAGCCGGCAGTGACATGGTCATTTTCAGGCTTTGGACTGTGAGCATCACACAGCCTGCAGTGATGCTCCTAGTTTCAGCAGATCAGAGGCCACATGACGGGCTGCCTGGTTCTCATGTGCTTACATGAGTGGCTCATAGCTGACTGGTAGGCTGATGCGGGCCCTTGTTTTTGGCCAGCTTCGTACTTTGATGATATGGGATGGACCCCTAACCTGCTGAGGCTTGCTGTCCAGTGATTTTGTCTCTTCTCGCTGAAAAGCCCTCCGGTGCCAATCCCCTTTGTGATAGAGTGAAGATCTGGCTTTCCTTTCAGCTGATAATATGCATAAAACATCACACATGCTTAATGAGCGCCCCGGCAGCGAGGTGAATATGCCACATGTGTGATTAGCATCGACCGCGTTGTGGTGACACTCCCTTTAGACACGCCGGAGTGTCACTGCGGATAGATGATGTCACTGTGCATTGTCATCATGGATTCTTCTGCTTTGTGAGACTGAATGAGTTAAGAAGCATCAGTAAAAGAATCCCTGTCAAGCCTTTGATGTGTTTCATGCTATACTGAGATCTCAGAGTGATGTTTGTATTTGGACAATAACACAATCTGTGGTTGATGAGACAGTATCACACTATTGCTCTATTGGATTTGGTTGGGAATAGCAGATAAGCCACATATGCAAATGGGCACCTGTTTAAAATTCATACATTTGATCTTATGGAAACATAATTAACATGTATTTAAACCTTGTCCATCTACCAATTTAATGATGTGTAGTAGAGCAGCTTTTGACAAGCATATTTGGCCCTTTGGGAACCGTCGGGTCAGTTCTCCATCCCGGCCTTAATCCTCCAGTTACAGATACAGACATCTAACAGGACCTCTGCTTTTCCTGATGGCTGGTCAATAGAGGCAGACATTTGGTCTTCAAGAACATGTGACTTGAATGTTCATCACTTTGATAAGTCAGAGACTTCATATTTTGTTGTGTCTTGATGGTTCATCATTTGATGGCCTGCAGCCAGGGGCAGACTTGCTGTTTCTGAGTCCCCACTCAAAATGTTCACTTTGAGGCCCCCTGTCCCCATGATGTAATGACTGTTTGTGACCAGCAGGGGCCCACCAACCTTGGAGGTAGAGACCTGCGCCTGACAGATTTTTCAGTCCCGCTCCTGCCCGCTCCTGCAAGATTCTGTCCCACTCCCGCAAAAAATATATATTATTTTCTCCCGCTCCCGCCCGCAGTATTCAAGTTTTGTCCCGCTCCCGCCCGCAAAATCCCGCAGGTAAACATATAAGTAGTTTTATTTTTACCGCTTCTTCCCGCTACTCTGTTATTTGTTTCACTTGCTTTCCTTTTGAGTATATATAAAAAGAAACGGAAAATAAACAAATATGCTTCATTTTATTTGAGTTTAATTAAATGGAATGATGAACATGGAACCGAACGAGGAGCTTTTCAGAACATGCCATCCCGTCCAAGCACCAGGCTGATTCCTTCTTGGGGTGTCCGATTACATCCCCCGGCACTCAGAGCGCGGCAATTGTAGTTTCTGTAGACGATTCGCCTGTAAATTGTTATTATTTTAATTTAGTCGTTCTTGTTGCTTTTGTGCAGTAGATAAATGAGTATTTGTTTTTAATAAATTAATTTTAAGGTAATTCCATTTTGCCGGAGTCCCGCGATTAATTCTATTCTCCCGCAACCCGCACATACATGAGGACCTTACCGCCCGAACCCGCATTCACCCATCAAATCTTGTCCCGCACCGCACTCGGTGCGTTGGGTCCCGCGGGAGTGCAGGTCTCTACTTGGAAGCTCCACACAAATGCGTGGTTTGACATTGCCCCTGCCTGCAGCTGCACCTGAATGGGCTTTTACTGCGTGCTCTTTAACATACTAAATTAAATGCAGGGCTCACCTTAAGTAAACATGACATACAAGACCAAATGACGCATTCCTTATATTCGGGGGGGGATTGGTGGGCATGTGCCCATCTGGCATCCAACAGTTGGGATGATTGGCAGGACACCAGTAGATGAGTCCATTTTTGATGCTGGGGGTGGTCTGCATACTTGAGATAACAATCCAAAGGTAACAGGGTAAAAAGAGCTATATATTATTATAGGTAAATAAATGTGCAAAGAACGTATCCCTATGGTAAAAACAGTGGAAATATCTATTGTGAAAATGGCAATATGAAATGGAATGATATCTTAAACTAACTAAAGAACAAGGTCTGCTTCATAGATGAATGATAAGTGCAAAGGGGGATTTAGATCAATACATCATTCACAGCAATTACTGAAATGATCTTAACTGCTGTGTCCGTTACACGCTTCTGTCTGTAGGGAGAGCTGAGGCAGCCTCACTGAAACAATTAGTGTAGTATTTTAATGGTGTGTATGAAATATACACCATGCACATTGTTGAAGGCAGCTGTCAGGCTCACTGGAGTAAAAAAAAAAAAGAGTCCATATTTAAAATGAAAAACGGCATCACCCCACAGCCATGCACAAATTAGCATTGTTATCTTTGCAGGGTCTTTGCGTTCATTGAGTAATGATTCTTAACCCAGTACCAACAGAATGCCAAGCAGGGTGAAACAGATGAGTTCTGGCAATCTGGGAATTCTTGAGCAAATATTTTCCCCTGAACTGCATTAAAGAAATGGATACCTTTTTTTTATCAAATATAACCTATAAGTCGCTTTTCTGTATTTCTGGGTTATAAGAAAACATTTTAAAATATGACATTTTTTAAGGAAAAGTGATATCAAATAAGACATGCAAACATCATGCAGACCAATAAAAACAACACAAAAAAGCTATATATTAGGAATATGTCTGCTTATTTGCACAAAGAAATATTTTTATTATCAGAAATATTCTTACTTTATCTTATTCTATATGACTTCTCTGTAAAAAAGTGACTAAGCAGGATGTCCCTCACCCACAGTAGCTGGTATTACTCTGCAGTGTCAGTCCTGACTGCAGTGACTCAACAGGATGCAGGATGTCCCTCACCCACAGTAGCTGGTATTACTCTGCAGTGTCAGTCCTGACTGCAGTGACTAAGCATTATGTAGGATCTCTTTTACCCACAGCAGCTGGTATCACTCTGCAGTGTCAGTCCTAACTCCAGTGACTCAACAGGATGTAGGATCTCTTTCACCCACAGCAGCTGGTATTACTCTGCAGTGCCAGTCCTAACTGCAGTGACTAAGCAGGGTGTAGGATGTCCTTCACCCACAGCAGCTGGTATTACTATGCATTCTTTGTAAATTATCTGCATAGAAGGATTGTCTTCCGTTGTGACTGCTCCCATAAATAGCACACCATTTGCACAGTGAAACCTCAAGGCAATACACTAACAACTTTCCATTTAATTATTTTCAAAATATACTTCCTGTATAATTCAGCATTTCCCGAATAAGCAAACTACGGGAAGTGTCAGAGGTAAATGTCATTTTTTTTCTTCTCATAAGTGAGCTCAGGGAATTTTGTGCAAATAAGTCATGGGGGTTCCTGCATTGATTGGTGCCACCAGTTAATTACCGCTTATTTTAAAGTCCCCCCCCATCACTGGGCCGCACATTATGATTGTGAAAAGACACTCCGACTTTATTCTGCACAGCAGTACGCACTGTGCATCGCTGTGGGATAGTGTGCTCTCAGGGTTCTCTCTGTATGTGCTGTTGTTTCACTGCTGGGCAGCCTGAGCAGTAAACACAGCCTGACCTCTCCCAATCAGAATTTCATTGTTAAAACCGCTGATCTTTTAAGCCTGTATTTCCATGTCACACCCAGCCATGAGAAACAGGAGTATTTATGTGTCTGTGACAGTGCTAAATCTTAGCTGTGGTGGCCTTGTGATACCTCTTCCTTGGACCATCTAGTCCTGATTGGATTCCAAGAGTGCTGATGCATCCTTTAGCTGATGTTGCTGGCTTCACTTTCACCTGGCAGACCCCGCTTGATAAGAATTGGCGCTGTGCAGCCTTCAGGTGTCACATGCTGCAGGGTATAATCCAGTACAATTCATCAGCCAGATCTGAACAGCTTTCCTTATCTCAGCTTGTCCCATCTTGAGAAGCAAGTCCCTCTTCTCTGTGGATCTTGGTGTGCAACCTCCACATACGAAGGAGAAGCTCTGCCTTATCTGGCCTGGCCTCGTGTCACCTTTAAACGAGCCGTGTCTCTCTGTGGTGCCGCCGTCATCAAGTAGCCTGGCTGGAATCTCGAAGAGTCAAAGCATGAAGCAGCCTGGCTGGAATCTCGAAGAGTCAAAGCATCAAGCAGACTGGCTGGAATCTCGAAGAGTCAAAGCTGGGCCCTCATCAGCGTTGTCTTTTTTTTTAGCAATGCCTGTGAGATTTGAAAAATTCTTAATGGTAGTAACAATAACAACAACAATAATAATAGCAATTATATTATTATTATTATTATTATTATTCAGTGGGTTTTCAGTGCTTCCCCTGAGGAAGAACTACTGCTATTACAGTCCAATGAAACTCAGCCTTGGTCTCCAGCTTCCCTGACCCCTACCTGCCTACTTGCACTCTGAATTTTTTGTTGATTTGATTTAAGAGGAAACTGGATGGATTGGACACCATTTTCTTTTATAACTTTACAGCAAGCCTGTGCAAAGTGGAAGAGGAGTGCTGGCTCTCCTGGTAAATCAGTCTTTGAGTTCACTCCTCACTCATACTTCTGCCCTGCATCAGGTCCATCTTCTGTGCAGTACCATGAGATGGTCTATGTTCTATCCTGTACAATGAAGCGGTCTGTCTTCTGTCCAGGACCCTGAAACAGTTTATTTTCTGTCCTTCACCCCGAGACAGACTGTCTTCTGTTCGATACCCCGATATGGTCCTCCTTCTGTCCTTCACCCCGAGACAGACTGTCTCCTGTTCGATACCCCGATATGGTCCTCCTTCTGTCCTTCACCCCGAGACAGACTGTCTCCTGTTCGATACCCCGATATGGTCCTTCTTCTGTCCTGTACCCTAAAATAGTCCACCATCTGTCTGGCACCCTGAGTCCACAGTTTCTTCTGTCTGGGACCCCAAAGATGTCCTCTGTTTAGCACCCTAAGACAACACCATGTGGAACACTGTCACTATGGGATCATTTTAAGCATATATTTATATTGAAAACTGCAAAATCCCATTTATCCTGTTTTTGGTAACTGTGGTATTCTCCTTAAGAGGCAAAAACTTTGGTTACATTAACTTTTATACAAGGATATGGGTATCATTTTTATCCATTTTCAGAAACCACTTCTCCTATTCAGGCTCACAGAAGGTCTGGAGTCCATGGGCACAAGGCAGGGAACAACCCAGAATGGACCACCACCCACACACAGAGCACACACACATCTACAGGCAGTTTGGTAACTGCAATTAACTAAAGCATGTTTTTGGACTGTGGGGAAAAACTAGAGTAACTGGAGGAAACCTCACAATGACACAGGGAGAAGATACAAACTCCACATACATGGAGCCATGAACCCAGGTCCCAGAGGCATGAAGTGACCATGCTGACCACTGCAGCACTGTGCTGCCCTGACACGGGCATCATTTGCCTTTCTAACATCCCATAATTCTCCATAAGATACACGTATGTGTATCTGCTTTTTGTGCCCCTGGAGCACAGTCATGCCCCAAAACCAGCACAGAGTAAATTGACAAAGGAAATAGTGACAGCTGATTGGGAACATTTTGATAAAGTATATTGTATAGTACAGTTATGATTTGACCTTCAAACAGTATGATATAGAAGATTTCAATACAATGATTTGCAATTCAGTATCCTTGTATTACTTTAGCTGCCAGGAGATAACCAGGCTTCTTTTCATGCTGTTTCAAAGGGTCCGTATGCCAACACAACAAAAGAGTTCCGGACTGGCTGTGTAGCATCACCATGGAGACGACTCTTGGCTTCAGCCCGAGGACCATGGAACAATGTCAATGATGACATTCCTCTGAAAACATTATTTGAAGGACTTGGGAAAATCCATGTGGGGTTTCTGAAAAGAGCAGGAAGGACCTAAACAGACAGTATATGTCTGATATGACAATATGGACAAATGGATTCATTAGACAGACATTGGCAGTATAAGTAAGGGCATGAGGCTGGCAGTGCTGGAGAAAATCCCAGCCATCAATTGGATACATAAGAGGACATCGACAAAAGCAGCATTGCTTCTCCTTGCTGTTTAGCCCACGGAGGTGCTGGTACATTGTCTCCCTCTTCACTGGGTTAAGTTGCCATAATGGACGTCTACAGACTTCCCACAACAACCCGGTCACTTGTATACATGGTGTTTATATATTTAATGTAATAATTGTTCTCATATTTATTCTCTTACTGTAAGCAGCTGAATTTGTATGTGTTTTGTGCTCATCAGGGACCAGATCGTGGAGTGTGACTGTTGCGCATATGACCATAAACTCTCTTGAATCTCTTGAATCTTAAAGCAGTTGGAGTCTCTATTAGGGCCTGTTATCTCCACTGGATATGGGCACGAGTGCCTAGATGTCCCACTGTCTTTATCTGAAATGGCTGAATTTGGTGCAATAAGAGGCCAGCTGGCATGAATGTTATCTGTATCAAAGGCTGAGTGCTGTTCTCAAGGGTGGCGTAATACCCAGGTGTTGCGCACTTCTCTGCTATCATCTTAGAAGATGGTGTTGAGTAAAGAAGGTCATGAAGGAGTCTCAAGGTGCCATAGAAACTGCCTTATCCTAAACGCACTGAAATTTTGGTGTATGGCTGAGTGGGATAAGACTCTCAAACCTCAGGGTCAGAGTGATGTCACTGTTGGGCACATGAGCATGGCCCCTAACCCCCAATGGTTCACAGAACTGGATGCCCCTGCTCTCTACCTAATTTTGGAGCATCTGGTATATATGTACAAGAGAGATGAAAGGTAGCTGAGTCAATTCCAGACACAGGAGCTGTGTGGCCTCAGCCTCGTCTGCGTCTTTTCAGAAATGTATCGTAACCTCCCTTAAGTTCATTTACATCACCATTTCTATAGCCACTCCTGTGATTCAATACACAGCTTTTGTGATTGGATATCCCCCACAGGTGACAGTAATGTAAATCCTTCACAGATAGCACAGTGACTGTAATGGATATCCCCCACAGGTGACAGTAATGTAAATCCTTCACAGATAGCACAGTGACTGTAATGGATATCCCCCACAGGTGACCGTAATGTAAATCCTTCACAGATAGCACAGTGACTGTAATGGATATCCCCCACAGGTGACCGTAATGTAAATCCTTCACAGATAGCACA